GTGTGAGGGTAACGGTTTTTGAAAAAAAAATACAATATTAACTATCATAATAAATAAAACTATAAATAAAAACTTAAATAATTATCATAATATATTCCTGCTCCCTGCGGTATAGTGCCAAGAACGCAGGCTGCGTTTCCTCGCCTCGCCTCGATGGCTGTATAGTCTTTGAGCGATAATCTTTTCTCCACCCTCTTATGACCAGCGGCGAAGAGAAGTCGCGGATACAGTTCCTTTAGTTTCCTATATATAGTTTAATTCGATATTACTAATGGTGCTGTATCAGTTTATTAAAAACATACCAAATAGTTGGATTCCACAAAGCATGAAACATCTAAAAAATTTACATTCTATTTTTATCGAAACAGTGCTCCTACAACTAACTGAGCAGAGAAACACCACAAACCCGAAAACCTACATCCGTTGGATTTGCAAAAATAAACAAACAGAAACGAGAGGAGCGGAGCTAAATCGATATCCAACCGTTGAACGGATCGCCCGTCAAACTTTTGCAATACAGTCAACAGACCGTCTCTATGCAGCCCCTAACTACCACAGTCCAAGCCAGAGCTTCGAAAACTGTGCACTGCAGCACTCAAATTGACCGCCTAATAAATTTCATCGTGACGAAAGTTTGAAAACAACCAACGAACACGTTGATTAAAATTTACCAACAGGAACAATGTACAACATTTCGAAAAAAAAATCTAGTTCTATAAAATATTTTTAATAAAATAGGGTCCCTTTTTTGCGGCGCAATTTTTAAAGTATTTGTAGATTTAAGATGTACGTAGTCTTCATATATGACATAGCCCCTATGCCTAAGTCTAAAGCAGCGTGCCGATATCGAAAGAAGTTTAAGAAGCCTTATACGAAACCACCCGCAGTACGGTGAACCTCCGAAACTAAATATCGCGTAATACACCGATTCAACAATAGAAATTATAAATAACATTCAAACTCAAAAAGCGTTAATATCTGAAAAGAAACATTTTTTTCGTAAATAACTAGGTTAGTAATACGGGTTGCAACAAAAGCCCGGTCGAACAATACAACCTCTCTGACGCGGTATTACACGGTGGATATAATTAGTTATGGTGTACGGATTTAGATTTTCTTGTTGCGATAATTTTTGTGAATACGCTGAATAAACATCTGCTCGAGATTTTGCGATTTGACAAGCCGGTGACGTATTGAGATGTCATGTAGAAAACTGATATGTTTGGTTCACAATGATGCCCAAAAAATGGTCAGTTGTGGATGCATTACCTTAATTTTTTTACAACCGATAAGTGAATATCATGAACATGTAATATCCAAGGATAATTATTATTACTTAAATGATTTAATAAATACATACGTGGTAGAGCCCTGCTGCAGCTGTACTATGGATGTAGCACGAATGGGTCGGCTCGACCGGGGAAGGACCACGCTCTCACAGAATATCAGCGTAAAATAGCACCTCCGGATACCCATTTTACTGGAAACGATGCATTCCAGTTTAGTCCTCATGTATGACATTTATCCTACATCTATAGGTTACGGTATCCACTTAACATTAGGTGGCCTGTGTGCACGCTAGTCACCCCTTTTCTATAAAAAAACACGAATTTTAGATTTGGGGCTGATTTTTCGATCGTCAGATAAAAGTTATTCACAGAATAAAATACTACCTAAACAAATTAAAAAATTACAGTTTTATTAAATAATGGTTTAATTGTTTAACTTTTATATTCAGTAAGGTAATAACTTATTTGATGGGTGACTTTTCACCGACGATTGATAATTCGGTCGCTAATTTTATTATTTTATAACTGGATGAGTGAAGGTGAAATATGAGCTAAAAGGCGCGCCTTGGGATAAGCCAATGTCCATCTTTTTATAAAAAAGATGTTTGTCAAGTGAGCATACAGTTCACCTACTGGTAAGTGGATGCTATGGACCATAGAGTCTAACATAAATTATGAATAAAAATGGAGGTGAGTTGTCATCCCTACCGAGTTTGGCACTGGCGCTATATCAAGATAATATTTTTTTTTGAAGTAAAAGTGAAAAAGGCACACAATCTATTTGAAGATTAGTGGATACTGTGGCCCATATAAACCTACATTTGGTTGCCCCTCGGGGCTAAGAAGGAATGCCACGTTTACAGTTAATATTAAGTTTGGTCCTCTACAATAACCATACGAAACACAGCAACATTATGCTGCTATTTTACCGTAGTATGTACGAGTGTAGTCCTTCCGGTTGAGCTGACACATTTATGCTGCAGACGTAAGAGCAACCACTCATTAAAACCTACAGCTTAATATACGTAACGTATTGGACGCACGCACGAATAGGTCGGCTCGACCGGGGAAGGACCACGCTCTCACAGTATACCCGCGTAAAATATCAGTTCAATGCTGTTATGACTCGTATGGTGAGTGTAGACAACCGGAGTCCTTCTTTTTCTAGCGAACGAGGCAACGAGGCATAGGAGGCATTTTATCTTAGTTGTCAGGGGTGACAACGCATCTGTATTTTGATTCTTAATCGAAGATAGACGTAGATGTCTATGGAATACATTCACGTACAAACGCGCACTCTTTCTCTATCACACACACAAACACACACACATACACACACACACACACACACACACACACACACACACACACACACACACACACACATTAATGATTCTTTTTTTAAATAACTATGTGCGCACTTGTGTACCTTTTATGTATCGGTCTGTGTAATATTGTGCTTGACTTCACCAGACTCACAGACTCACTGAAATACAGGTGTTACCTATTTTATGGATCAGGGACAACCTATATTTGCACTATTCCATGTAATTTTCCGTGGCGTAGTGGCTTAGCAATGAGTTGCAACGCTTATGGCCGCGGGTTCGAATCCCGCACGGAAGAAGTATAGATGTGTAAATATTAAAATGGAAGCACGTTATTTATTCATATCACGACTTACTACATACAGTTAATTTAAATCTAAACATAAAATATTTTTACAAGTTTCTTATAAAACCTACGGAAGCTCTTGGTACGTAGTAAAACACTTTATATTTTCATGTAAGCTAAGGTAAAAATAGTGTTAACAAAACAAAAATTATCTGTGTATTATAAACCTTCTTATTAACCTTGTTACACACTTGAAAACTATTTAAAGCGCCTTGTTCACGGTCCATCTTGCTGTACTTTCAGTGCTGACCTTGGCGGGACGTACAGCAAGATGGAACGTGAACAAGACTCTTATGTAAACGAAAACTGTCATGAATTGTTTTGAAACACGTTGGTGTTTTATTTTACTGTACTATAAAAAGTTTGAAACAGTTTTTATGGGCGTTTAATAAAAATTAATACAAATACACTCCTTTTTTCAATTAAGTATAATACATATTAATCGTAAAGATATAAACAAAAATTAAATCTAATAAATCAGCTTATATCTAATACAAAAATAAACTATAATAAGATTACAATTACAATGGAGATTTTAATTTAAGGTTTGTTTATAGCATAGTAAATTCACACAAACAAATTTCTAAAACTTACAAAATTTCTCCTCAACACACACATAGCATTTTACATGTCACTCAATTGCACAGTTTCTTAATCACCAACTTATACGATAAAAAGATGATTTTCGCAAATATTGTTGTCAAAAAATCTATAGTGGAAGCTGTGCTAATATAGTTTTTCAGTAAAATAACACTTTTCGTGATAACAATTGCCATATTCCTTAGCTCAACAGATAAGAATATTTCTCCCTTCAAAACACACAGAAGCACATACATAAACAACTAACGAATAATAAATTCGGGTCATGGAGGCCTAGGTTTCTGATAATACAACTTAAAAATACTGATTAATTGGTTCCGCTCAGCGGTAATGACTATTTTATATCAAGATCCACTGTTTGTTCCCTTTTAACATTTGTCCATTATAAAATAAAGCCCACAAATAATACAGGATTAATAATAACCTAGTAACTATGATACACAAAAATTATTCGAAACCTTTTACTTTTGGTTAAACTTTAAATGGAAACGTAAAATAAAAAAAAAGTATTAAATATAGTGGACAATATTTCACGAAACGTCACTCAATTTTATAAAATTACATAATTACACAATTAATTTCGAAATTAAAAACAAATTTACATTTTCTAAAGCTCATATAATGTTGTTACATAATAATATCATCAGGTTTTAATCATTCACATAGCATTTCATGTTACTACATATTATTAATAAATCGATATTTAAATATATTCGTAATTGCCTTTCTTATGCGGCTATCGAATAATTAGTTTCTTCTTCACTTCATTGTACGCAAAGATATTTAATTATTTATAGGGAGTGTACCGGACATTGATGCACGTTTTAAATTTTAATGCATATTTATGTTCCTATGGTTTCCATATTATTGAATTTAAACTTCTTTATAGTATTTTTTATATTGAGACGTAGTGGAGAAAATTAGTGTGATATTATTCAAAAAAGTCACGTTTTCTTGTAACGTTTCGCCGGCGTGTCTGCATGAGTATACTATTACTTAACCTACTTATGGAAGAATGATATGTCGTTTTTAGCATGTTTACAAAAAAACCTATTCAATCTCTATCAAATAGATGGCATGTTGTTATAAAATAGTAAAAATAAATCATTTTCGCTCGTTTCCCTTTACAGCATAAACGTTAAAACTCTGCGCTGTTATACTAATTTCGCATTTTGATTACAAAATTTGAATGAAAATAACATCTTCCAGTCCATCTCCCTAAATAATTCAATATCTATTGTCGGCTACATATAACATTGTTACAAAAACGTTCAATCACAATTTAGTCACATTAAAATAAATGTGACCAACATATAGTCAAACGACTTGAAACTACTAATAATCAATTGATCCGTTAAACAGATTGTGTTTATCGACGTCACGCCATGAGCTCAATGTCCCGTCACGTCGCGTTCAATAACCTTTGGACGTAGATTGTCGTTACCTATTGTATATGTTGTCGATGATTGTGTATATTTGGTGGAAATGAGGCCGTTTCTCGGCTTCGTACTCCCAACAACGTAGCATCAAAGCGTACACTTCCTCGGAACAGCCTTCTGGCGCCGGCATACGATAACCGGTATCAATCTTCTCTCTCGCGCGAGAATTGCTCATTCCCGCGTACGGAGTGTCGCCTTTAGAGAATATCTCCCACATCAGCACGCCGTAACTCCAGACATCGCAAAGGGATGTGTATTTGCCGAAGTTGAGCGCCTCAGGCGCGGTCCACTTGATGGGTATCTGCTTCATGCCGCCGGAGACGATGTACTCCTCCTCCTCGCGCGACATGCCGAAGTCGGAGATCTTGACGGTGTGGTCGTCGGCAACGAGGCAGTTGCGCGCGGCCAGGTCGCGGTGGATGCAGTTCTTGGACTCCAGGTAGCGCATGCCGGCCGCCGCGTCGCGGCACATGGCCAGCAGTGGCCGCGGGCCCAGCGCGCCCGCGCGCGTGCGCAGGAACGTCAGCAGCGACCCGCCTGGAACAAGTTCCATGACGATCATAATAGGTTGCTTCTGCACGGCGATGCCAATCAGTCGCACGATATTCGGATGTTGGTACTGCTTTAGTATGCGGCCCTCTTGTAGAAACGTGCGCTTCTGCTCCTCGGGCAACGCAACTCGGCACGTCTTCACTGCTACCTCTTGTCCAGTTGTCTTCAATCGGGCCTTGTAAACGTCGCCGAAGTTACCCCGTCCGATCTTGTCGAGCAGCTGCACGTTATCGTTGTTAAGCTCCCAGGTCTCGCGCGGCACGGCTCGCCGCAGCAGCGCCCCGGAGCGCGCCGTCACCGGCACTCCGCTGGCGCGCTGCCACGCTATCAGCTCTGCTACAGACGGGAAAGCAGCGCCCTCGAAACGGTAGTGGCCCTCAGGCGTGGTCCGCACGATGAAGTGCTTGTGCTGGCCCCAGCAGACGGAGAGCACGAGCTGGCGCGCGTGGTTGCGCGTGGTCTCGCGCACCAGGTAGTCGCCGTCCGCGCGCAGCAGCCGCACCACCTCCTCGCGCGGCAGCACGCCGTGGAACCACTCCTGCTCCACCAGCGACCGCTCCGCCTCGCTCACACTCACCTGATGGTCGGGCGAGCTGCCGTCCAGGCTGTCGCCGCCGACGGTCTCGGCGGAGAGGTCGGGGCAGCCGCTGGGCGCCTCCTCGCAGCCGAGCTCGGCGAGCGCGGCGCGGATCAGCTCCGCCTGCCGCGCGCACTTGCGCTCCGCCACGCGCAGCTCCAGCAGCTTCGTCGGCTCCGATGCCGTCACCGGGATAGGCGGCGGCGAGTGCCTATCAACACCATTTACGCCATTGGTAACGCTAGTGTTGTTATTCTTGCAGACTCCGTTGCCTATAATTTCTGGTCCGTGCAACGCGGTCTGCTTTTCCCTGTTATCTTGCAGCGTCGATTCCAACTCCGTCAGCTTTTCCTTCAGCCATTCCACCGTGAGGTTATCCACCGTTAGCTGGTTAGGTTGTAATTTACCACTCGTGTCTTCCACTAAGCTCTCGTCGAATGTAAACGTTATGGGCGTTGATGGAGGGGATTTGTATTTCTCCATGAACTCTTTGTATTCATCTTGAGGTTTCAGGTTCTGAATGGTGCACTCTACTCTGCCCTGTATCTCTCTAAATTTGTCCGTGCTAAAGTCCGACCTTCGCACCACCTCCAGTAATATCGCCTTCCACGAAGCAGCGGTAGCTTCACCCTGCCGTTTCTGCTGATCCAATAAAGAGGGAAGAGCGGCGGTTCTTAGTGCCCTCTCGCACTCCGTTGCCTCCGCCAACAGAAGCACGTACTCATTGTGCGCCCGATGCAACCTTCTGCAAGCCTTGCTGTATTTGTCACGGGTCTCGTCCAGCTTCCGCCCGCCCCGGCTTGTTGGACACTTACATTTAAGATAGTTCTCCTCGAACTTTGCCCTCATTTGCTTGTAGGATTCGAGGCACTTCTGGTATTCACTTTGCTTCCTCTGCACTTCTTCGGTTAACTGAGTAAACTGAGACGAGATTTTAGTATGGTCTTCTTGGTAGACTTTGCGGGTCTTACGCCGCTCTGTCATTAAAGTAATCAGACGGTCGAGAGCCCGGGACTCAAGAGCCTCGGCATTGGCTCTGATCAACCGACTGGTATTTTCCCATTCTTCGGTCATGGTGCGCCAGGCCGAAGCAATTAGTGAGCCGTTGAGATCCTCGCATTTATCCATCTTCTGACCTTGGGCAGCAGCGGCAGAAAGAGCGAGAGCGTATTCCCGGTCACTCTTCATCTTAGCCTGAAGACTCCTTTTCATGGTTTCCATTAGTCGCAGCTCAGCATCTTGTCTCGCCAGCAGCGCTTCATGCGCTGCTCGCCCAGCCCCGCTCGATGCATAACCCATTATCAAATTACAAACCACTTTACACTCAACCCACACACATCACAACGTAAACACAACTCGATTCACATAACTCCCCGTTATCACTGCACAGGATTTTAAGTCACTTTGCAGCAAAAAATATCAATTTATTGCCAGCTAAAATCTAAAACGGAACTCTACTTGTAAGTTGTAATATGAGAACATGTAGCTTTTTACGAATCAGTTTAGCGCCAAATCGGTAGGCGATATGGCTAAATAAAAACTCGACGCAAATAAAACAATTTCGATATTCAATGTTTATAAGTGCGAACTACGTCCGTGCGACTATACGTCCACTCGGTAGACGCGCGCGACGTAAATCAAAGTATTTGTATGGCCTACAAATAATTGTTCCAGGTCTGGATGTTTGTCCTTGTGCAATATATGTTTGTAAACTACCTCCACGATACAGAAGAAAATCCTAGTGTGGTGGTAACGTTTTTTTTAAATAAAAAAAATATATTTTTAGTCAAATAAAGAAAAATTATAAAAAATATTATATTATTATCAGGTGGACTGTGTGCTCGATTGTCCATTCTTATTCTGTTAAAAAACTTATATAAAGAATTCTAAGCATCTAACATACAGACCTTATTATGTTAATGAAATGAACAACCATAATTTTACTTTTAATAAAAAATACAAACCAAGTCACAATAAAGTATTCATCACATATTTTGCCACCTTTAGAAATGGTTTTTTTTTCTTTTCGTGGTAATTTTTGTTTGGAATGGCTTCTCTAGTACATATAACTCAATGATAAAAAATAATCATTTATATCGGTTCGGCCGAGAAATAGCTGAACATATATATAAAAACATATGCGACGAATTTAATATATCCTTTAAATTATGTTTTCAAAATAGAAACAATTTTAAACTTTTCTTTGCCCTGATTTTTTTCCCAATCTTTGGTCGGTCTAAGTTGTATGTTTAGAAACGTCTAACCATGGAAGTGAGAGAAAAAAGAAAACAAAGAAGTGTAAATGATCGTGTTCCGGCACGCGCCCGTCAGTCCCGACCTGACCTTCGTCAAACTGATACATCTGACAGATTAACGCATATCACTGTTATGCAACACACTGTATGACCAGTCGAGCGGACATTTATTAAAAATTTTCAAACGATGCGACGTGTCGAGCATTTACTGAATAATAGACGGATGTACGGCTTATTAGCATTTTAGGTGAATTTGAAATTATATTCACACACATTAGTTTTTTTTTTTTGCATTTAAGCAAAATGTAGTTTTATTTAAAGAAAATTTTGATTACTCAAGTATGAAAACGAGTTTTAGAGAGTCGCTTACTTATTTTTTACGTCGCATTAAAACGATATACCTACAAAAACTTTCACAAGCTTCTCCGATAAGCGGCGATCGTTTCTGGCGAACGAATCCTTTTTTTTTTCAATATACGCGGGCTTCGTTATCGCTCCTATAAAGTCGCGGTCTCACGTACGAAATTCTCAGTTGATGTTTGACTTTTTTATGCAAACCGCTGCAAGTTCTATAAAATCGATGGTAAAAACGGTATTCATTTTGCAGCCAAACCCATACACATGCATATGCACATATTTTGCACGTATTTGAGTTATTGATTTAAAATACAGAACATTATAATCTATAGACTGGATTGGACTTAGCCCTATATCAATAGGTGGGAAGATTCCCCGTTAATAGATAAGTATGGCTAGGATTCTTCGAAATGTGTGATAGAAGAACTAAGCGGCACGAGAAGATTCGGAAGCAGTTATTCTGTAATGGAGATACTAGAATCCTTTAGCCTAGCATTTAAGTCTTAAAAACCGTTTTAATAACTTCTGGTTAGCACAAGTGCTAGCTCTAACTTTGATTTCAAAGACAGGAAATTATATAGAGTGCCGAGATAAAAATGTCCATTTCTATTTTTCAGCCTCAGACCAATAAAGAAATAAAGACGTTGACCCAGCGTCTTTCGTACTTTTAATTAATTCAAAAACCAAGCCAAAACCATATACTCGTACAAAAGATTGTAAGAACACGTATACATATACGTAAATTTGCAACCAACAACATGGTTTTAGGTGAATATGTGTACCCAGCAGTGAAATTTTACGGGCTGATAAAGAAAGAATGAAGAAATACGTGTGCATGACTGCGTGAAAAGAAGTTGGGTTGTCTTTTTCTTTGGTTAATCCGACTTCGTAGAATTTTTAGTTAACAGCAATTTGACGCGGGTAGATTCTGCTAAGAGAAAATCAATTTATTCATCAATTGTATCTTAATATCAATAAACATAAGATTTTTCTACCTAACGTGGAATTAGAGCTGCAGAAAGCTTGGAAAAAGAACCACGCCTTCACAAAATACCACCAGATAATGCTGCTGTCTTTCGTATAGTAGATATCAATAACTGGAACGCATCATTTCAATTCTTAATCGGTGATAATTAAGGTTTTAATGGGCCACAGCATCGAATTAACATCAGGTGACTCGGTTTCTAATGTGGTTGCATTTCACCTCGTGGGCATCGTGAGAGGTGACTATAAGATACCAGAAAAATCTCATGACCTCCAGATGTAATTTCCAATAACAGGTGACAAGGAGTAGCGTTAGAGTGTGAGATATCAGATTGCCAATCCACGTACCAAGTGTAGCAATAATAGCAAATATTCCTGACTGTAAGAAAGTTGTAAGACCAGCATTGGACTAATAAGGTCTAATAAATCGAAAATAATGTCACAAAGTTAAAGGTAACGTTCAAAGCATTCACGGCCAATCTATAATAACCAAGCGATTATTTAACCATATTAATTATATACTATTTAATATAAATTATTTGTCAACAGTGTATCAGCAGCGCACTTTGAATGTACCTCGTAGGAGAGTCATAAAACGGTGTGGGCGGAGCGCGGTCGCTCCGCGGGCGCCCGCTCCACTAATCGCTACCACCTCCGTGTGCTAGGCTAGCCTTAAATTTAGCTGTATTATTCGTTTAATAGCGTTATAACGTTAAACTAATATGATTTAAGAACGTAACAGCCTATATATGTACGTCCACCGCCTTGGGCAGGCCTCTCATTTTGAAGCAGTTCTCTGCACTTCAGTCCAAATGCGTAACATATTTTCATTTATGTAACATACATCTCTCCTCATCCTCATGATGTATCCGTTTTTCGCCTAGCACGTGGTAAATTAGCATTTAAAATTGCAATTAATAATTTCAGAGGTGCCGGCGGAGATCGGTTTCGGTATGATCGTGTACTAATCAATTTTTAAGAGAAGTAATTATCCCGTGACCTTCAAAAGCTCTTAACGTGGTTTAATCGAAATTTATTATATAAAATAATAATAATAATATCTATCTAAGTATCTATAAATCCAACAAAAAGTGACCCATCACTAACTGGTGTAAGTAAGACAAGCAGGATATCAATAGATGAAAAAATTAACAGTGGTAGTGCCACGCGGCAGCTTTTGCTGTCGCACGGATGGGCCGGCTCGAACCGGGGTGGTACCACGACCTCACAGAAAACCAGCGTGAAGTAGAGGTTTACCTCTGCGTTTCGTTTGGTGAGTGCAGGTGGCCGGAGGCCCTTTTTACTGGAAATGATGCATTCCATCTTAGTCCTCACGGGTGACAACGCATCTACATTTTGATTTGTAATAGAGGATAGATTTCTATGGGCCACAGCAACCACTTACCATCAGATGGACTGTGTGCTCGTTTGTCACCCTTATCTTATAAAAAAAAGATTGTAATTAAGAATCTTAGTTTGTGACAATAGTCGGCAGAGGCCTGTGTTCAGCAGTGAATCCATGATAAGTTTCCATTATGATATAGATGACGTTGACACTTACTTTTATGAAGAAACTTACATTTTTTTTTATAATATAATGATCACTTGTCACAAAACCTTTATCAACTTCGTTTTCTATATAAATTTAATATTATACTTATCCTAAGTAATTTCAAAAACGTGAAAATATTTGATTGGATGTTTGCGGAATTACTCTAACGACCAGTTCGTTTTGTTGTTCGTTTGGGAAATTTAGTATAAAAGTCGATTACGTCGTAGAATAGGACGTAAGTATATACTTTAAGGATATATTGATAACAATTATACATTGACCTCTATATAATGTCTTATTATGCCAATTATATCTTATAAGTCTAATATACGGCGGATGACAGCTAGTAGTTTATTGATAGAAACTTTCTTACGTGCATATTGTTTTTTGTACATTTGGTAACAGATATTAACTTTAATATTATTATATCTGTTAAACGCATGTTATATTATATTACATATTCTCTTCACTCTGTCTTAAAATGAAGTCGATTAATGTGTTAGACACAAAAATAATATGTTGCTACAAAAAATGTTTCTCATCCCTATTTCGCACAAATGGGAATTTTCTTATCGTCGCTGATAAAACAACTTTGTCACGGAGGCGGTCGTTCTCGATGCGATGGCTCTACTGCGCACCATTTGCTCCGACATTATGTTAACGTGGGATCCATGTGGGATCCAATAACGTATTTTAGCATTAAATTATTCCCTATGAGATTTATAAGTCAGATATTCGTCGAATTTGACTATCTTGCGGTAACCTTATTAAAACTCATATGTGTTAGTTAATAATTTATTGATAATTTTTATATTTTTAAAATTAATAACGCAGTGATGTAAAGGGTAAGCCAATAGCGAGCAATATTATTTTAATTCAAAAACACATTTGATTTACGAGCGGTACCATAGTGAAAGAACTGTTAGCTCATGGACTCAGGAGCCAAGATTAAATGCTGATAAACTAACTTGGCTGTGAAAGAAAACATCGTGAGGAAACTTATTTGTCTGGGAAAAACAGATTTTCAAAGTGGGAAGCTACTTTGTTATAGAAATAAGGGTGACAAATGAGCATTCAGTTTACCAAGTAATTGGACGCTATAGCTCATAGAAAACTTAAAACCATCCTCGTTAAAAATCAAAACGCAGATA